AAAATTGTACATATACATAAAAAGTAGGCCATAATTTTCAAAACGTCATAAATTTTATACCGTTTTAAATAGTTCAAACGTGTGATTTTATTTTTAGTAAATTATTAGTTACATTAATAAAACGAAGAAGAATTCAATAGAAAAGAAAATAAATATCATTTTAATATTTGGGAAAATTTTAAAAACTTTTTATTGGCATCTAGAGTTTATGCAACACGATTTCCCATCCCGGATCATTTCAGGAAACTATTATACTGGTATAACTATTATATTGGTATAACTTTCAACTAAGAGAATTCCCTTTGCAAGCATTTTTTCACTTAATAGTTCAACCATTCAACCTTTTATTTACCCCAGGTTTTCTAGAAAAATATATTGAATTGTCTAATGTATAGCGAATGGGGTAGAACGACTCACTAAAAAATGCTTGCAAAGGCAAATACTCTTAGTTGTTGAAAGTCATACAAATATTTTGACACTAATTAAACCACATTTTGACTTTTGGTTTCGATTTCACACCTATTTTAAGTATAACATTTTTTTACGTATCAACCCTTTAACCGGTACAAAAATGCTTGAAATATCATCTTAGATTCAGAAAAAATGCTTTTAACCTATATCCCAAATTTCGTTGAAAAACATAAATATATGGTCATGTAACCCAAATTCCTACACCGGAAGTAGCAAAACCGGACGACAGAAAGTGTTTGCAAAGCATCCAGAAGCATATATTTCATTGTCGGCAAAAAAACGAAAATAAATCCATCGATAAACAACTTTTCTTTGAATTTCATAGATCATATGAACGCTCCCACCACCGGGACATAGTACATGTTGTTCCCTCTCCTCTTTAATTAACTACAATAGCATTGAAAAGCATGACGTGCCACTTTTTGCAGTCAGATGAGGGACTATAAATTAAGGTCTTTTAAATCTGCAAAAACGCAGAATATTTTCCTCACGAACTGTTCTAAGTGACTTTAGGTCTCTTAGTGAAGTAAAATAATATCGTCGCCCTTATCACGAAGTGGCATAAGTGACAAATAGTAAATTTTACAGAAGAGCAATAAAACGCAAATACGTAATACTCAGATTAACATAATATAGAGGGATTTAGAGTTTGCACTTTCAAAATTTTATCGTGGAATGCTAAGGCCTTGTTTTATTGTTTGGTAATTCTAAATTAGCAAAACTGTAAAATAGTCAATTATGCCACTTCGTGACAAACAATTTTCTCACTTTATCAGATAGGCCATAATAAAGTATATTTTATTAATTTAATTGTCATTGTTTTTAATGCAATATTATTTATGTTTTATCTGCTTCTGATTATATTTAGTATAGGTTTAGGAAATGACAAAAAAATAAAATAAGTTTAATGTTTTTATTAAGAAAAATAAATATAACTCAAAACTAATGATTAAGAATAGTTAGTCATTTTTCATGAGGTAATTCCTGATAATATTTCTGGAATTCAGATAATCGGACCTTGACATAAGAAGAGTAGGTCAGAATATTTCTTGCTTGTGAGTTTTACTGGTTCTGTGATGAGTGCAGAGATAACAGAGATATAAGCAATCATTGATAAAATATAATATTAACGGTGCCAACATTAATTAATTAATTAAATTTTTAATTTCTAATACTTGTTATTTTATACAGGGATTATTGATTTATCCACTATGAATAATAGGGTGTATTAATTACTTCAAGATTTTTTTATTTTTTGGAGGAAAATGAAAAATAAGAAAATATAAACTGTTTATTAAAGGTATTTATTGAAGTATCGATTATACACAGCAAGGCTATTGGCTTGAAAAATACAATAAATCCCCAATATAAATAAATTATAATAATAATAATAATTGGAAGGAAGTATATAAAGCATACATTAATAATATTAAAATATATAATTACAAGACTTTCAAACTAATCAGAATCAGATGCACCACACGAATCAACATTTTCCAAAACATTAGCGGCTGTGGCCAAACTATTTCTGCAGTTTTTCTGTGCCATACAGGTGCAGGAACCGATACAACAAATATTTTTTTTCTTGCATTTGCAAATTTTGCTTTCACAGTCTAGAACAGAATATTATTATTAGAATATTGTATAGTATCTTTTTTGCATTTGCATAATGTAAGTTCTGTTATGTCTGGTGGCAGGTCGAGCAGAGTCTTAAAAGTGGATATCAGACTTCCATCTTGATCTACTTTCCATCCATACTCTTCAACATTAGGAATCTGCATCTGGGTTTAAAGAGCTTAGCCAAATATTTAGCTGGTAAAATTATCTTAAAAAATGTAGTCTTAGGGCATCTTCAGTCGGTGGCAATTTAGCGATGGTTTTTGAAGAGTTTCCATGTCCAGAATATAATTTTCCAATTCTTCTTCCTGTTGTTTTTAACAGGTTTATAAATTCCAAACCTTTTTCATTGGGTAAAACTCTTTTATTTTGTTCTTTACATCGTCGAATTATTGTTGCTTTTGGAATATTAAAACATTTACTTGCTTCTAAATAGCCCATTTGTCCGCTTTTCACCACTTCAATAGCAGTTTCCATAGCAACAAGGGACCAACTTTGTTTTTCCGTTTTTCGTACATAATTACGGACCATCTTAACTAGGCACCTGCAAACAAAATTAGATACATTAAAATATACTTGGGGTAATATGGACTACTAACGGTTTACTTTGCCCCACATTGACATTAAATTAAACAAGTGTAAGTTATATTAAAATGTCATAACAAATCCTAACAAAAATCGTTGGTATATATTAAGCACACTTAAAATAACGTGTTGAGACTAACAAAATAAATAGAAATAAATTTACCTACCAAGTAATTCTGATTTTCAGTTAGAACGTTTGTTAGATTGACGCCGCCGCAAAACACGTAATGGTTCTAAACGCTAACAAACAATACTCCACAGATGGCAAGTTCTTACCATAGATAAATTAATATTAAAAGATAAACCGTTTAAAAGCACGGCACTGGTAACAAGTGGTAGTTCCCAGCCATACTACTTGGAGCCACCGTCGCACGCTACACATTTGGCTGATTAACTTAACAGTTAGAGCAACTTAAAAGAAGAAAATTAAAAAGAAGAATGTCAAGCCTATACGCGGCTCATTCAAATGTCCTTTATTATTTATTTACATTTTTTGGCATTCATTACTTTAAAAAAAACTAATATTTACATTAAAATACTGTATTTAACATAAATATTAGTTTTTTAAGTAATAAAACTCCAAAAAATATAAATGAAAATATTTGAAACAATATATACGTATAGTTTAATCATTTAATAAAAGTAAGGTGCATTTAAACATTTATTACATACAGAACATGTACAAATAACAACTGTAAGTGGAATTAATAGTATTCTCCTCTCGTTCTTGGAAAACTGGACCAAATGTTGTTGCAGGTGTCAGGGGTTTCCTATAAAAACAAAAAAGTGTACATACTTACATCTTATTAAACAATTTTTCTTATCAAAATGTTGCCCTTTCTTATAAAAAAATTATTTTTAATTTGTCTAAAATTAGTTTATAGAAAAAACTTTCAGTTTATTTCTCATAGTACAATGGTCGATTTGAATTATATTTTAACTAATCTGTTCTAGTTGATCTAACAAATTTGAGTTTGAAAATTACTTTTCATTTTTAACAGAGGGTTGTTCAAATTGTTTATCACTAATACTAAGTTTACGTTTGCAAATAATTTCTTGTTTTTCGTTGCAGATTAGCAAATCTATCTTATGCTACTGTGTATGTGCTTCAGCCTCAACATTTTCTAAAATCTGACTATTTGGGTTAAGTATTGAGTATAGTTGAACTGGATGTACTATTAGCTAATAAAATTGGTACAGAATTTGAAATTAGTCGTTTATGTTTTGAAGCAATTTTACTAAAAGAATCTGGCCAAAAATGATCTTCAAAAAGATAGCGAATTTTATTATCTAAAGATAAATGTAAATTCTTAAAACAGTTTTCACGAATTTTAATATCGGAAGGATAATGAAAAAAGGTTTTATTTGAATAACCAGCCTGTTGAATATTAGAATAATACTTATTTAAATTAAGGGGCTGAAAAAGATTACTTAATTTTACCAGGGCCAGACATGTTTTGTTACAAATAGGTATATTAAAAAAGAATTGAAAATCGATACAAAATGAAATTATACTTCGTTAAGGCTATAAGAAAACAATGATAAAGTCCTTAAACAAATCTAACACCTTATTAAATTATATTGTTAATACTTACTAATTTCATCAAATCAGCACTTATTAATCTTCTTAACCTAATAATAACTTACCTATCGAAGGATAATTATATCCACAACATCATAATAATTTTTATTTTATGACGGTTTTTGTGCATTTTTCGACTATTTCGTCTTCCGCCACTCCGTTCTTTATTTTTAACGAGGTTTATCAACACAGTTGCCAAACCTCTCTTTAAAATATCTCAGCAATAGTATGGCCATTGTATGGATGGTATCGAGCACGACAAAAACAAAATAGGGTGCAGCTTATGCGTTTGAATTAACTCTAATCTCATGAAAGTTTATGGAAACTGACAACATCGCTGTCATCTTATTTGCGACGGTGGCTCCAAGTAGTATGGCTGGGAACTACCACTTGTTACCAGTGCCGTGCATTTAAACGGTTTATCTTTTAATATTAATTTATCTATGGTTCTTACTGAGTATTAATAGAACCCGTATGCAAATAAATAGAATGGAATCCGCTACACTGTTGCCGCTGTTATGAAGAAAACCTAGGTGGTTTACATTGCCCCCGTAGTTCACATTGCCCCATCCTCCCCTAGATCTTAATTCCGAAACATTAATTAAAGTGATTTAATAAACGTAAAACAATGCAAACTTTCACCCCTTTAAATAAATTAATCTAATTCTTACTACTGAAAAATAATAAAAGTTTTATCAAATATTTATTAGTTGAATAACATAAAAATAAAGAATGTATTTTTCAGGTATGGACTTTATATCTAAAACATGGAAACTTTGTACAAAACTAAAAACTTTCGAAGATGTTGATCTGTTACATAATTGGCTAAGCAACATCTACATTAATCTGGCACTTTCTAATTATCATTATCCATCAGAAGTAAATACACCTTTACCAGCTTACCCAGTACAAGTTTTTTGTGAAAAACTCACCACTTCCTTCTTCAACGATACCAAAGGTTTGATCGAACACTTTGGTCACGCTTTGGAGATCTACACCAATTACACTGGAACTAAAAGGTGTAACAACATAAACAATTCATTCGAAGATTACAGCGAATTTGCTTGGGGTTACCAAAAATGTACTGAACTAATAATGCCGACGTGTTCAACTGATGCGGACATGTTTATCACGAAACCTTGGGACTATGAGAAATATTCATTGGATTGTTACAAGAAATTCGGCGTTAAAACTTTGGATCCGAATTGGCCTTTACGTGCTTACGGTGGAAAAAATTTGAAATACTATTCGAACATAGTCTTCAGCAATGCAATGATGGACCCATATTCATGTGGAGGTGTTACAGAAAACGTATCTAATACAATCTGGTCATATAATATTAATGATGCTCCACACATTGTAGACTTGAGGAGAGCAGATACTGCTGACAATAACTACCTTATTGAAGCTAGATCATTCCATATTCAAGCTATAAAGAAATGGTTGAACATGAAATAACTTTTCGTAGACTGAATATTCGTAACTACCAAGTTAATAATGAAAATATTATAACCTTATATTTAAGAGTTCATGTTTTTATAAGTATTGTTTTATTAAGTTCAATTTATTTATTATTTTTTAAGTTTTAAATTTTAATGTGTTATTAGTCATAAAATTTAAAATATAACCTGTTAACATAAACATAGTTTTTCTACATCACATCTACTTTCTGCACAAACTACAGGCTCAATATGTAAACTACCGTAAAGTGGGGTTACTTTGCACTTATCCGGGTAACTTTGCACCAATGCTGAAAGTATGTTTCTGTCAAGAACGCCCTTTCATTTATTTTTTTGATCCGGCAACCCTACCCACCGATATTTAGACACTCCAGTGCGTCACATCAATCCGCACCAATCATATCCTAAAAATGTTAACGTTTCAAAGCTACTAGGTAAAAATAATTTAAATACCGAATGGTGCAAAGTAAAACCGTTATATGGTATACTTTACACCACCATTTAAATTAGTTTTTTGCCTTTATAGAGTAACTAATCGACTCAAAAATGTAGTTAGGATCATTCAATGGCTATCAAAAATCAAAAAAGAATTATATTACCATTAATGGCTGTTTAGATAGTCATAAGAAAAAATTTAAGTCAAAAAAGTCGTGCAAAATAGCCCCACTTCACGGTATATTATTTTAATGACCATTACATATCCATTCTGGAATGTACACACAACCAAAATTATACGGAATCATCTATTATTTTTAATAATTTTTGAGATGTAAGAATATTTTTTGTTTATGAATAAAACGCAGTTCTTACCAAAGACTTTTAATGAAAAATAACCCACATAGCAAAAAAAAAAATAATTAATTAGTTGACAAAATAATGTTACCTTCTTTTTGATTTCTACGATGTAAATTGTACTTAAGAGGTGATTTAGCTCAAATTGATGGCATTGCGTGGATTCAAAAATTGACCGAAAAAATAAAATCAGAGTAGCTTCAGCTTGACCGGTTCGCGGGCCAAGCCTACTTTACGATAAAATGAAAGATACTATAATAGGTACTATAACGACAAAAGTATGTTGAGCCCCACCAAGTTTTTGAGTAACTTAGAAAACTTATCTGATTTTATATGCCCTGTTTAATTGACTTCGGCTTCCATTTGAAGATGCTTCAAAAAAAAAATTCACTAAATATTATGTATGAATACATCTAAAAAGGAGTCTCTACCAGGAGTATGTCATTATTATGCCCCTGGACGATAGAAATACACTTATTTTTATACTAAAAATTATTAACTCAACTCCGAATTGGAATATAGTAGTCCAGTTTATTATTTCTCTCTACGTCGCTGAAATGAACCAATAACCTGTGTAGACAGACTGGAATATCGTGCCGTGCGGCATTGTAGTCAAAAGTATCCGCAAAGTAAGAAGAAGCCAATGTCGTCGCATCGTTAAGTCAGTTTATTATTTAATTTAATTGGTTGGAGTATTTTAAACATTAATTATTACCACATATTTCAATTTTTACGATTTATTATATAAAATAGATGTAATAAATAATTTTACAAAGCGAAAAATAGATTAATAATCAATCAATTTGAAATATAGGTACTGCGTTCCAAGTATATGATACAAAATTAAAAACTGATATAAATATATACCAAATGTAAAGTGTCTATTGAAATTATCGACTGTCGGTATATAATTTTTTTCAGAAAAATAAAATGCCGTCTCTGGAATAAATATTTTAATTAGTGCATTTCCAATTCTTTCGAAATAAAGGTTTCTTATTTTATATCAATTCTGCATGACATACCTACCTTCTTATAGATATAAATAGGTAGGAAATAATTGACTTAATTGGTTATAGTGCAAACATATCTCTACTGGTTGGGTTACTTCCCAAGTGACTTCTCGATTAGTAAACGAATACGAACGTCAACATTTTATTAATTTAGTTATAAAAAATATTTTAAAATTAAAATTACAAAGTAAATGTAGAAATAACCTAAACATAGAACGACTTATAAAATTAAAATGTGACTTACATATTGCTGATTTAACTCAGATTTTCTCATTGTTTCCAAATTCCTGCTCCTCGTCTTCCTTCTCCTCGTTATCACTAATTATATCATCGTCATCCTCATTGAGATTTCTCCATTATTTACGTGTATGCCGCTATTGTTCCTGTATTCCTCTTCTATTTCATACACATGTTTTATAACTGCTTCCCACTGCGATTTTCCGATCGCATCCATTTGTTCTTTGATCAAGTTGACGACCTGAGAATCAAATTTGGGAAATATATTTTTTCTCCGAATATTTTGTTTCAATTGGCTCCAGAGTAACTCTATAGGATTGAAAATACAAAAATATGGTGGTAACCTTAAAACTGTATGACCTCTTTCAGCTGCAATTTCATCAACTATATACTTTTTTTAAAAATTTTTAGTTTTTAGGACTTCCAAAAGTTCTTTTTTTTATATTTTTCATCAAAATACAAATCGTGATTCATTAAAAATTCTTGAATTTCATCTTTCTTAGAGTTTTTATTAGGTATTTTTTCCTTAAGCCTGGAGTGATATGAAGCATTGTCCATAACTATTACACTTTTTGGCTTTAAATTAGGCAACAGTGAATTCGTAAACCATTCTTCAAAAATATCGGAATTCATATTTGAATGGTAATCAATCTGGCAGCTATCAATTTTTTTCCAATTAATAGTAAGGTATTGTCAACCCAACCGTCCTCTGAGCCACAGTTTAATATTATCAGTCGAGTGCCTTTATTTGGAGGGATACCTAAGGCTTGGCAATATTTATTATCGTTTCTCCAGCCCTTTTTTGCAGTATCATGCGAATCATACCACGTTTCATCAAGAAAATAAATTGGCCTGCTTTCATTTTTATATTCACGAATTTTCTGTAAATAAGAATTTCTCCAGTTTACAATTCGTCTTGTTTCCATCACGCGCTTCTTTTATCTATCGTTTTGTATTTAAAACCGATTTTTTTTAGCCAATTATACAATGTAGACTTTTTTATATTTGTATCGAAATAAGTTTCACTTAAGCGTCTATGTATAATATCAAGAGTGGGAATGGTATTTTATTTATAAAGTTCATACACTGTGTTCACAATGGATTTGGCCATGGATGGATCTAATTTTTTTTGCACACCTTTGTCTTCACGGACTTTTCTGCTGGAAATTCCATTTTTTATAATTTGGTTCATTTTATAAACCGATATACCAGTAAGAAACGCTGCTTCTTGAACGGTAGAAGTGTTTTCGATATATCCACGTTTTAACAAATTTTTATAAACATTTAAACAAATTTGCTGGGACTGTTCATTTAAAAAGAGTTTATTTTTTATTAGCGTAGGCACTGCATTAGTTTCTCCATCACTGTTTGATGTACTGGTGCTCGGAATACTATCCCACGGTCTCCAGATAGTTAATAACATACACAAAAATTATTATTCGTTTATTAAAATTATTATATAACCTCCAAAACACAAACTGATTATTGATAAAACGAAACCAAACACTAATAAAACAGAAACTAATATTCTATAAAAGTTTAAAAAGTACGATACAGGAGCTGTTATCCGTACAAAACTCAACAGGTCACTAAGATGAACAAAACTCCACTGAAAGTAAAAATAAATATTTTTATTCAAATACGTTTCATTTTATTTTTCGGCATTGGTTAAAAATTCGGCTCTTTAAATGGACAAAGACAATATGCCGACAAAGACAATATGCCGACAAAGACAATATGCCGACGAAGGCAATATGCTGACGAAGGCAATAGCCGACAAAAGGCAATAGCCGTCAAAGGCGATACACCGCCAAAAACAATATACTTACAGAGGCAGTATACCGACAAAGCTATTCACGCTTCTTGGAGAAAAAATGCAAAATTTTATCTAAAACACTGAAATCGTTGAAGGAAAACATCAGTTATAAATCCTACTTATTTTATTCTAATTAGGTATATATGTATATAAAAAATTACTATTTTAAATCTTCAAATCGAAAGAAACATATACCTATAATACGTACATATAATTAAATTATTAAGTAAAAACATATATCTCCGTCTATGGGCGGTCTATCAAAGAGTTAGTTTAGCTGACTTCCGACAAGCTACCCGTTCCCTATACCAATTTTTTTTCGAATTATTCAAACAGGTGCCGAACTTTTTTTGCGTTTGCGGTATTCCTTTATAGTTGACTTATTGTTTGGATGGACTATACAAGCAAACGATAAAGTGTGACTTTAAAGCTTTAAAGCCAGCCGGCAACATACAAAAAAAAACTAAGGAGATTGATACATCACCTTTAAATTAGTACAGGAGCATTCAAGAGATTAAGTATACTTATTTTATTTTTACTTCCCACGATATTGTAATCGTGCACATTAGATTTTCACGTTTTCGGGTCCCTAGATTACGAAAAACATGTTTTCCCCATTCCGTCGGTCTGTCCGCCGTCTGTTGTCTGCCGTCTGTTGTCTGCCGTCTGTCTGTTGGCGCAATAGCTCAAAAACGGCTTAGAAGAAAAATTTCAAATTTTGTATGCAGGTAAGGCTTCCTTTTGGCTCAAAACCGGTTATACTTCTGATCAGATATATATATATATATATATATAGATTCGTCCTGCCGGCGTTGTGACATCATGTCGCAAAAATGTTGCTATCTTTATAACATCCGTCTGCGATGTGACATCCAAATTCGGATGTCACAACGTTTTTGGGGTTCAAACATCATAAAGGAGGTTTAAAAGGGCCCCAAAAAAATTTCAGCTGGATGTCATAATGCTTAATTTTCAATTTTATGTATATATTTAGTTCCAGTGTATAGATGCGAAGGTGGCGCTCGCGTCAGTTGGTTTTGTATATTTTGTATATTAAATATTTCAGTCCCTCGACTGTATAACATCCACCATTAAGTATATTAGAATTTACTCACTCGACTGTCTGACATCCAACATTCAGTATATTAAAACTTACTCACCCGACTATCTGACATCCACCATAGAGTATATTAGAACTTTACACACTAGGTTATGTGACATCCAAAAAATTTATTTTAGATATATTTGGATTTTCATTTTAAGATCTATTTTATGTTAACACATAAGCTGCCAAAATTTTTTCTTGGGTTTCGCATGAAGCCAACAAGTTTCTTAAATGCATTCACTCTCTGTGACTATTTAATAAATATATATTATATGCATTTATATTGATACAAGGTGTATCAACAATGGGTGAGTGAACGATGACTAATTTATATTAAAAGAAATCACACGAAATTAAATTAAAATATATTAAAATAAAATAAATTATTAAAATAAATTAAAATAAATTAAAATAAATTAAAATAAATTAAAATAAATTAAAATAAATTAAAATAAATTAAAATAAATTAAAATAAATTAAAATAAATTAAAATAAATTAAAATAAATTAAAATAAATTAAAATAAATTAAAATAAATTAAAATAAATTAAAATAAATTAAAATAAATTAAAATAAATTAAAATAAATTAAAATAAATTAAAATAAATTAAAATAAATTAAAATAAATTAAAATAAATTAAAATAAATTAAAATAAATTAAAATAAATTAAAATAAATTAAAATAAATTAAAATAAATTAAAATAAATTAAAATAAATTAAAATAAATTAAAATAAATTAAAATAAATTAAAATAAATTAAAATAAATTAAAATAAATTAAAATAAATTAAAATAAATTAAAATAAATTAAAATAAATTAAAATAAATTAAAATAAATTAAAATAAATTA